AGGAAGTAACTGAATTTTTTAAGCAATTATTGGATGATATGACAATTAGCAAAGATATGAGTCTTGTGGATTCGAAAAGTAGTGGCAGTGTGGGTAGTACTACTGCTGATAAAATACAGCCAACCACCACAATTACTTTGAATACTATGTTGAAGAAAAAGGGTAGGGAAGATGTATGCTTGGATATTTGTAGATATTTTTATGCTAATGTCCTTCCTTTTAATTTGGTAAAAGATCCATATTTTGTAAGATTGTTAGAATCTGTTGCATCGTTTGGTAAGGGATTGAAACCTCCATCGTATCATGAGGTGAGATGTTCTTTTTTGAAAAAAGAAACAAATTTGATTAATGGTGGGTTGATGGAAAATTATAAAGCAGAGTGGAGAAGGACGGGTTGTACTCTTATGTCTGATGGATGGACTGATGGGAAACATCGCTCTATCACTAATTTTTTAGTGAATAGTCCTAGAGGAAGTGTGTTTCTTAAAAGTATTGATACTTCAGGTATTTGTAAGAATGCGGATAATCTTTTTGAGCTTTTAGATTCAATGGTAGAAGAGATTGGTGAGGATAATGTTGTTCAGGTTGTAACTGATAGTGCATCGGCTTATGTAAAAGCTGGGGAGTTGTTAATGGCAAAGAGGAAAAAGTTGTTTTGGTCTCCTTGCGGTGCACATTGTCTAGATCTCATTTTGACGGATATTGGGGACCTTCCTCTGCACAAGGATATAATGTCAAAGGCAAGGAAAATCACAGTTTACATTTATAGACATTCTTGGGTGTTAAATCTTATGAGAAAGTATACAAAGAAAAGGGATTTGGTGAGAGCTTGTGTGACCAGATTTGCCACCTCATATTTAACTTTAAGGAGTTTATTTGAANATAGACTGTCTCTGGTTTCTCTTCAGCCATCGACGACGAGTGGCGATCGCTATGGGTGGTGATCGCTATGGGTGGTGATCGACTGTGGGTGGTGATCGAATATGGGTAGTGATCGACTGTGGGTGGTGATCGGCTGTGGATGGCGATCGCTATGGGTGGTGATCGTTGTGGGTAGTGATTGACTGTGGGTGATGATCGACTGTGGGTGGTGAACGTTGTAGGTGGTGATCGCTGTGGGTGGTCTTCGACTGTGTGGGTGGTCTTCGACT